ACTGGTCTGTCAGTGCCCCGTACAGCCATCTTGCTGGAGGGATGAAGTACCATGATGGAAAACTGACTGTGCCTACCACTGGACGGTACTATATCTACCTGCAGGTCTACTATCACAGCGTAGGAAGGATCTATGTTTATGTCAACAGCAAACCCGTGACCATGTTTCAAGGCCCTTGGCCGGGAAAAGGCGACCATGGTACCGCGTACTCAGCCGGTGTTTTCAACCTGAAATCTGGTGACATCATCACGATTGCTTCGGCTTCCGCCAACTGTAGAATTTTCATGTATACCTACCACACCTACTTTGGCGCGTATTTGATTTAAAAATGTGATGAATATCGCGTGACAACTGCACCATAACCTCGAGAATTAAGGGACTAGACATTAATTTTAAAAAAGTGCATAATTGCCATGTTTAACGAACATTTTTTGGTAAAAAAATATTTCTAAGTATTGCGCAGTTTAGTTGGCGCAGTATTCTGTAAAATAACCTTACGGGTCATAATTAGAGCTCGGTTACTTTACTTGTATACACTGTTTAGCAGGAGACATCTGTAATGGATATTTTAATGCTGAAATAAATGCAAGGATGGTGCTAAAGCTGTATGCATCAAGGAGTGAAACTAGGGCAAAAACAAAGGTGTTAAGGGAATGTATCGAATTATTTTCCTTTTTCTGAATAAATAACTGTAGTGGAATGTTTCCTGAAATACAGTAAAAGAATTATTTCTCGAATGGCATAAGCATGAAATGATGAATACAAACTATAAAGCGCCCACTTCCGCTTCCGTCCCTAATGGGTAAATAGCCCGCAGTGTATTGTTGGTTTTCACGTGATGTCACGAAAATTCAAACCACAAAACTATCGATAGAACCGCTATTTTATTTTCCCGATGTATTAGAGCAGCTGAAAACTAATTTTCATACAAATTTTCCCTTCAAAAGGGTTCTTGGGTTTGTGATAGAGTACGCTTGAATGAACGCGGCGTTTACATGACGGCCAAGAGAGCTGTCATGTAGGTTAAAGAAATTTCTTATTTCAAGGAACTCTGCTCTCTAAACAGTTATGTATTAGAAAAAGTATTACTTTAATGTTTATGAGTTCCTCGAAGAATAAATTCACGCTTTTGTAGGAAAACTCGGTAACAGAAACTGATGTTTCTGTTGGTTTCGGTCCGCCATGTTGGTGCTCATCCGGATGGGTAACAGCATGGCGTCTCCAACTCTATTAATTTTGTGAAAACATTTCCTCGGATATCTCGTATACAAAATATTCCTCTGACCTGAATCCTGGCGAGAGTCTTTGGATATTTACCTCCTTTAATTTTCCAGATTCTGGAATTTCTCTATTGAACGGTTTTGGATTTTATTTTGATCTCTTTTGAATGGCTTGACACTGAAATCTCAAAGCAGAGTAAGATCAGGGAGAGCGAACAATACGATCAATAAGGTTGGAAAGCCAAGACACTGCTTTATTTGAAGTCTTTACTGAACTAGTACATCGCCTTCATACAAATGAACTACAGCTTACGGTTAAGAAATGTCACTTTACGTTACACAAGGGGTAATAATTAAGTCTGAGAACTGTTGGGAGGAAAAGGAGGAAATTTAAAGTTGTGTGTTGACCGAAATTTGTCTCATAGCGTAAGGCAGCGTGTAATTTACGAACCGTTGGACTTTTATTTTCTTCTATTTTAAAGCGATTTTCTCAATATTTATATATTCAAATTTGCTATATGGTACGGAACGACTCAACAATGGACTCAACTTATCACATGTAAATTGAGTCATCTGTGGTACGCCAGTGGCAAGATCAAACGAATCTTTTTTTCTCTTTGCTATTCTTTATTTTCGGTCCAGGTTTATCGGCTTCACGCACTCCATTCGTTTGATCTTTTCCACTGGCGTACCACAGATGATCCAATTTACATATGATACGTCGAGTCCATGAGTCATTCCGTACAAAATAACAATTTTGAATACATAAATATTACGAAAATCGCTTTAAATTATAAGAAAATTGAAGTCCAACGGTCCGTTGATCTAACATGTGTGGTAAAGAGAGGCCATATAGAGTACCAATGATAAACGTGAACGCCACTTTTGCCGTCAGGTTTTTTTAGTGCGACCAGTGTGTTAAACTTCATTAGGGCTAATTTTTGTTCTTCTGCAATGTGGAACGTCCTGGACATTTTTTACGAGCAAAATATACGCACGCAATAATGGTTATTCTGCCGGTTATGAAGTACAGACACAGAAAGAAAAAAACTAATTTTCTTAAAAACATTGAAACAACACTTACAATCAAGCTTCAGTCTCAGTAAAAATATTTGGCACACTTGATTGTATCCTCGCCTTCCCATCTCCTTTGGCCTCCTGTTCAGCGGTTAGTCGTCGGCAAAGAACCTGAGGTCTAGTAATGTCGCGATATACCGGGATGACGCTTCCGAAAGGAGTCGAGTGCTGAAGAAAATTCTCGATTTACTCTTATGCCTCCA